ACTTTATAAAACACGAGTGGAGTAATGACTGAAGATTGAGTAATAATATGCATAATCTAACCTGAAAGTCACTAATTCACCTAAAGGCACTAAATCATGCATAATCAGCATATAATTCAGACCTAAAAGGCTCTAAATTTTTCTTAATGAACATGCTTTTCTACAGGCATAATTATAACAGTCAAATAATTATTGCAATAAGGAGATAAATAGCATGCTCAGATTATGCATATTACTCACAAAATACTCCACAATTAAATTGTAACACTTAATACAATTTAAACTGAAAAACATTATTAAATTAAAATTCAACTGAAGAATTAAAACTGAATAATTATTCAAAGTTGAACAATAATTTAATAATAGACTTAATAAAAAAAAATCAATTGGATAATTTAATTAGAAGAAGTCCAAATATGATGAAGATGTTAATCTGAATGAATTGATGTAGTCCAAATATCAATTCAAATTTGGCCCAAAACCATAACAGGCCCAGATTTTAAAAAAAAAATAATAATAATAAATTTTTTTTTATATAGGAGCCCAGGTCTGGCCCAATTGGGCCAGACCCGGCCCAATTCACTTAAGTCCATCATTCATCATCTTCTTCATCTATTTCACGCAACAGCAGCGCAGACCAGCAAACGCACAGCCATGGAAGACGAATTAGCAGTCTAAAATGTCGCCGGCGTCGCCAATAGGGAAGTAGGTAGCAGCAACGTTGCCGGAAATCCAGCTTCGCCGCCACCACCTGGCCTCCTCGCAACGCTAGCACCTCCGTCGTTCGCCCCCGCAGCCACGTTGCGAACTAGTCCGGCCGTGACGCAACGCCAACCGACGACATACAGAACACGACGCTCCTTAAGGTCGTGCCATCGTCATCGTTGATCCATGCCATCACCGGAAACACCATTGTTGGTGATGATGAAGGAGGACGACATATACAGTAACTTTTTTTTGAAATTAAATGTGTCCTCCACCAACAACAAAGAGTTTCTGGCAATTTCAAAATAAAATGGCAATTGGAATTGCTAAAGAATGGCGCAGCAGTAGGAAAGCAAATCCAATTAATTTTTTTTTTCTTATATTTTAAATTCTTAATGCGGAAAAAAAAAAAACTTAATTTCCAGCAGTCCAGAAAATTTAATTGCGGACTCAAGAATATTCACATATGTATCTCAATTATACAAAATTGTATACAACATATGTAAATATTTAAGCAATTAAAAAAACTAGGCAGAGATTATTTATGGCGACTGATACCAACTGTTAGACTAAAGTATCACATGCATCATATAATATGTGATAATAGGATCGACTAACCTCCAGCCATAGCTCTTTACACGGTTGAACGATCCGGACTGCTGCAGAGATAACGAGTATTTTGTCTCTCACTTTACTCAGCTCTCTCTAGATGGTGTATGAGGTATGTAATGTGAGCAGTGAGAGGACTAGTGACCTTATATAACCACTGGCCATCATTGTGGTTGATTGTCTTTAGGTCTCCTAAACCCTAACCAGACTTCTAATCATAATGGTAGTCTAGCTATTAGGTTATTAGTGTTGCACCACATATCAAATACTGAATATTATCATAACTTATCCTAATGTTATAATAATAGTAACGGATAAACGTTACATCCACGGTCTTGCATGAATCCATAGCGAGTGCTCAAGTTTCATCCCTCTTCGACATGCATACGCCAAACTGGGATCTTGAGTGTATACGGGATCTATATGTTCAGAGGGATGTGGATCTTATTTTGCAGATTCCAATTAGCATGCGAAAACCAGGTGATTCATGGATATGTTCCGCCAATTCGAAGGGGAGATTTACGGTCAAGTCTTGTTATAGTAAAATTGCTGGGGAATTCGTTGACTCACGGCCATGGAATGTCATTTGGATGTTGTCGATCCCCCCTAAAATAAAGAGTAATTCGTTGACTCACGGCCATGGAATGTCATCTGGATGTTGTTGATCCCCCCTAAAATAAAGAGTTTTTGTTGGCATCTTGTGTCAGGTTACCTTCCAACGAGAGATGCTCTCTCTGGAAAACGTGTGGCCTGTACCATTTGGTGCCAATTGTGCGAACAATGTGATGAAGCGGCTATCCATATATTCTTGAATTGTGATCAGGTGAGAAATATTTGGAGGTTGTTGAGGCTATCGGTTATCTCTGTTAATTTGAAACTGTCTCTGAATGATTTTTTTCATCATATACGCATACTATCGACTTATGAAGCCTGCATTTTCAGTACTGTATGCTGGGGTATTTGGAATGGTCGGAATAATAAATTGTGGAATGGTGTTGCTTTCAATGCAAAAAAAGTAATTCGCTCGTCTATGTCTTTTCTTCATAACTGGAGGTGTGCGAATGAACTTAATGATTCCACTCGTTCTGTTGTTGATGTGTGACGAAAAGTGGAAGCTGCCGGAGCAGGGACGTATAAAATTAAACACGGATGCCGCGCTGGGTACAGATGGGAATTGTGTTACGGGATTGGGCTGGATTCTCCGGGATGATCAAGGCAATTTTATCGCGGCAAAGGGAGTAAAGTATACAGGTTTACTTGGGGTAAAGGAAGCGGAAGCAGTCAGTATTCGTGAAGCTCTCAGTTGGCTGAAAGGACTGAACAAGGGGCATGTTGATGTTGAATCTGATTCTCAGTTGACAGTTAATGCTATAGTTTCTACCTCTTTTACTTCGCCCTTTGGCTTTATTGTAGATGATGTTAAGGAAATTGCATCTCATATCCCAGATGTAATTTTTGGCTTTGTTAGGCGATCTGCGAACCGCGCTGCCCACTCTATTGCTCGGGTAGCCGTTTTTATGCCAGATTGCGGGGAGTGGTTTGGCTCCCCTCCTGCTTTTCTTATTGATGTTCTATCGTCTGATTCAATGAATTAAGATTTTTCTTTCAAAAAAAAAAACAAACAAACAAACAAAAAAAAAAACAAATAATAATATTCAATAACAAACAAAAACAAAAAACAAATAATAATATTCAATGGATCTGTTAGGCGCTTTTCGCGACATCTCTCTTCATTTATTTATCTTCCCTTGAGAAGAGAAATAACTCATCCCTTGCAGAAGTTGTTGACCTTCTCTTTCTTGCATCTCTTTCTTGCATCTCTTTCTGCCAACATGGCTTTGAGACCTCAAAAGGCCTAAATAAACTCCACATTCACCTCTGATATTTTTTTGAAAAACAGCAAAACAAACTCATCCATTAATAAAGAGTTGAACTGTTACACAAGGAAGAACATAGAAAGCGCAGGATAAAATCGAAACACTCAATTCTGATATTGATGCACTTAGAACCATACCATAAACCGTTACTGTATATATGGTTCTAGACCGTTCATGAATCGATAATTCCAATTCATAGCCATCGATTAATCACATATTTTTTGTATTTTAATTTTTAAATATAACTAAATATGATAACATATTTTCAAAAAATATGTTAAATTTTAATCAACTATCATGTAGTGTGATGATGACAAATTATGCTGTGGAACCGTGTCTACCTTGCAAGGTGGACACGGTTCCAAAACTGTTCATAATTATGAATATATAGTTCAAATATTATGAACATAAAATTCTGTAATTATGAATATAGAAATTCAATAATTGTGAATATGAAATTCAAAAATTATGAATATATAACTTTATAATTATGAACATATAGTTCGGTAATTGTGAATATAGAATTCAATAATTATGAATATGAAGTTCAAAAATTATGAATATATAGCTTTATAATTATGAACATATAATTCAGTAATTATGAACGTAGAACTATGTCCACTTTGTAAGGTGGACACGGTTCCACAGCATAACGATTGGTGTGATGATACTTCTATTACCATTACAAACGGAACTACCTTGTAAAGAATTATGATTGATTGTTTATATATATATATATATATATATATATATGGTAGGGTTCCAGTGAGAACATAAGAACACATCATGTGCATCCATCTAATATTTTTTAATGGTATATATTAGATTAAGTGTGTGCGAACGCGCATTAAATGTGTACAAACACACTTAATCGCGTTTGCACACATTTAATGCGCGTTCGCACGCACTTAATCTAATCTAGAACATTAAAAAATATTAGATGGACGCACACGATATGTTTTCACGTTCTCACCTAAGCAGGTGTTCTCATATGATCTTAAAAAAAAAAAAAATATATATATATATATATATATATATATATATATATATATACACACATACATACATATATACATATATATATATATATATATATATATGTGTGTGTGTGTGTGTGTTAAATTTTAAATTTGAGCAAGTGCCAATGACAATGCATTGTGCACCCTAAAAATTTCATATTTCTAATGTACATAATTGTATAGTAGAATACACAAACTCCTACCATAATACGCATAATCTAACATAATACACATAAGCTCTTGACATAATACACATAAATTTTTAACATAATACACATGAACTCTTAACATAATATACATAAACTCTTAACATATTATACATAAACTCTTAACGTATTACGTATAAACTATTAACATAATACACATAAACTCTCAGGGCGCACAATGCAATGTGCACCCTGGTGCACGGTATAATTTGCCATAACAATGCAACATGGACGGCAAATTATGTTGTTCCAAAACTTTTAATAATTATGAATATATAGTTCAACATATAGTTCTATAATTATGAACATAGAGTTGTAAACATAATTCTGATATAGTTCTGTAATTATGAATATAGAGATTTAATAATTGTGAATATAACGTTCAAAAATTATGAATATATAGTTTTATAATTATGAGCATAGAGTTCTGTAATTGTAAATATAGAGTTCAATAATTATGAATATGAAGTTTAAAAATTATGAATATATAGCTTTATAATTATAAACATATAATTCAGTAATTATGAACATAAAACTGTGTCCACCTTGCAAGGTGGACACGGTTCCACAGCATAACGATTGCAGTAAGGACCAAATGGGCCTTTTTCAAATTGGGCAAGTAACAAAGGCCAATGCGGCCGAAGATAATAAGCCCAAAACAATTGAGCGTCTCAAAGCGTAGAAAAGAAACCCAAATACGACCCGACTGAACAAACTGAAAAACTGACCCGTAGCACCCTTCGTCGACGACGGGGACCGATGGCGACGAAGAAACAGCCAAAGCACAACGTGGGAGCTCCAAAAGGAAGAAAAAACTTCATATCGTCCGTATCTCCATTGAAAGCGTTTTTTCTACATCTCATATGTGGACTAGGGTTAGCTTCAGCATTATGGGCCGCTCGCAATATTTACTCCGCCGATCTCGTCTCAAATCCAGCTCAAACGCTCCGTCTGATTTTGGTATTACCTTCACTACTTCATGCATTTATTTCTATATTTTGTTTTCTCACTCTAATTTAGTAATTGAATTTGGTTTCACAGGCGTCTGAGTCTCCCGTAGTGATCCTGCTTTACAGTCTCTTTCGACATGATTCGGATCGATGCTCTGTAAGCTTGCTGAACTTCCTATCTTGTTTACTCTTCTTTTTTTTTTTTTTTTTTTTTTTTTTTCTGGATTTATGTGGAATATATTTGATTTTTTTTTTTTTTTTTCCATTTCGGCGTTCAACAGTACTTCAAAGCTTTGGGACGAGGTTTATTGGGTCTTCCAGTTGGTTAGTCATGAAATTATTTTTTTAAACATTTTTGTTATCCTTAAGCAATTTCAGCAATAAATTCATGTACTGTATGTATGTACATTATAAATGCGGCTGCTCCTTTGTCTGGTGCACGCACATTCATCTGGCATTTTTCCTGTTGATATGACATGAAAGGAAGTTTTATCCATACACTGTATGTATTTGCTATTATTTAGAATTTGCTCGACACGACAGAGAAATGTTCTATTTTTGTTGATTTTCCTTAAAAGAAAATTGACACAGACAATTCTTGAAGTTAGAAACAAATATCAAAGTTTTTTTTTTTTTTTTTTTTTTTTATTTAAAGTGCTATTGCGGATGTATACTTTCATGCTCTGAAGGGCCTATGTTTTAGATCTACATCATTTTCTTGGAGACCTTGGAATTTTGTCCTACTATTTGGGGGGATAACCTATGTGTTTAGCAGAACAATATTTTGAGTTGGCTATCCTTTGGAAGTTTGAAAACCTTTTGGAAAACCAATTTTAGTCAGTTTCATAATCATATATCTTCCTCAGTAAACAAAACTGTTTAGGGTGACTGATGTTAGTATTGCTTTATGTTGTTTCATAATTGTAGGGGCCGCATTGATTGCAGTGGGGGCTATTATTTTGGGAGCACCTGTTGGCTTTCAGTATGTGGCAATAAGAACATCTTTTTAGTCTGTCATAGTGATTTAAAACCAATGCCATAGTTGAGGTTGGACGAAATTGGCTTTGATCTATCTGATACCTATATTCATCAGGTACAGGGCACTTGAGTATTTTTTTTCATTGTTAAAAGGGTCACCATTTGTTACTCCTTCATATCTTTTTCAATAAAGAACACATTATAAACTTAGTCTAGTGTTGAGGTTGTTTTGAGATATCCACCATCAAGATTCATTTTGTAATTTGATGTCCAACCTCAACTGTGACTACGGCTTCACTATAACTCTATAAGTCTATAATGATTGAATCAATGAAATTTAATGGTTCTTGATCACCTTTATCTTTAATTTAATTAGGTTTTCATCTTGTTAACAGGTACTTTGGCATGACCTTGTATTGGTCCCTTGTTATGTCAGTATTCACTGTAAGTATATATTATGTAGCCTATTCACCTTAGATGTTCTTTTGATAGCTGGGCCACTCAATGCCATGACTTAATGGTGTAATTGTGTACATGTCTGAAGATGCATTATGCATGATCTGATCTTTTCTCCTGCTGCTATGCTGACAGTTTGTTCCGGCAGCTACTGTTTTTGGTTCGTCATGGGCTGATTGGCACCGTATATTTGCTCAATCAGAGTAAGCTTTACAACTTCATTCCTGCTTTAGATATCTAATGTAGTAGTCTTGGTAGTTGGTACAGAATATATTTGCACAGCTATTTTATGATAATGTTACTGGTGTGTAGGCCAGCTAAAAACATAGATTATATGATCTTCTTTCCTGCACATGGTGCCATTATTGGAGCATGGTTTGGTGCTTGGCCAATGCCCCTTGATTGGGAAAGGCCATGGCAGGTATTATTCCCTTGTCTTTTTACTCTGATAGTTTATTCCATGAAATTAAACTTGTCCTGTCTGTTATTGGTCTATCTGTGAATTTGGGGGTGAATCTGCCTTAATGACTTAAGCAAGATACATTTATTTAATTTATGATGTAGCTCTACAACTAAGTCAAAAGTAGTTGGGTAGACAATCACATAATTTTCGATCATTTCACTTGTGACAATGACTAAAATTGGTTCTGCTGTATTTATCTCTTATTTCATAAGCTCTCATTCTCTAATGCTTTTCCCTAGTTATAGATATGTAAATGGCACGTCCCAATGTAGTCAAAGTACTTTAAAAGTCCCTGGAGTATACAACTTTTTAAAAATTTATTCCATTTTCACAGATTTTGGTCAGTTTTGTCATTGTATTATTGAAATGATAAAATTGAGGACAATCACTAATCCATTAGATGGGGCAATCAACAATGCTAACAGGTTAGTGACATGGCTTTGGCATGTCATAATATGTTGGTATAGCATTGCCATGTCAACATTTATAATTTACAATAATTTTAAAATAAATGGAATATTTTTATATAATTTAATTTTTTTAATGTATTTTGGAAATTATAAATGCCATGATAGGATATTTTAACATGTCAGTTCTATGTCATTAACAGGTTAATGGTTAACATTGCTAAAAAATAAATTAAACATTTTTATTCTATTCGTTTTTTAATATTGGAAATTGTAAATGCTGACCCCGGCAATGCCATATGAATAGATTCTAACATGTTAATGTCAGGTCACTTACACATCAACATTACAAATTGCTTTGTCTATCTGATTAGTAATTGTTCTCATTTATACTAATATTAATATAGGGACAACACCTTATGAATACATTCTAACATGTTAATGTCAGGTCACTTACACATCAACATTGCAAATTGCTTTGTCTAACTGGATTAGTAATTGTTTCTCATTTATACTAATATTAATATAGGGACAATGTGTCTAAAACTCTAGTAAAGGGGCTAAATTGAATAAAATCACACATTTTAGGGACTTCCAATTACTTTTGCCATTTCAATGCAAATAAATTTATATCTTTTGCTTGGAAATTTGTAGCACCATCAAAACTAATCTACATGATTTTTCAATGAGTTTTGATGAGTAAATGTTCTACTTAATTATTAAGCCCATTCATTTTTCACCCCAAACTACTGATGGTCAACAAATTATGAGACTCTTTATTATATGCAGGAATGGCCAATCTGTGTAACTTATGGAGCTATGGCTGGGTACTTTGTGGGAATGGCAGTCTCTATGGGTTTCATCCTCTTCCATAACCGCCTGCAGCACATTAAAGGAGAGTAATGCATTTTTATTTCTCGAGTCTTCTTGGAAGAAACACTCTTACCATAGGGCACCCCTGCTTTCTAAACAAGATTTCTTTCATGTTCACCGGCTCCTCTCTTTGGCATTTTACTTTTATGTAAGTGAGTGATCTTCCTTTTTGTAGGAGGGTACAGACTACAGAGACTAATACTATTCACTTGAGCTGTTAAAAAAAAAAAAAAAAAAAAAAAAAAAACCGAAATTAAGCCTAGCTTACAGAAATTGGCTTCTAAACTTGCAGTAAACTTCAATCAACAATTGTTTTCTAATAAGCCTGTGGATGAATTTTACTTGCAGCTAACTTCAAGGGCAATAATTATGTGAAAATTGAATTTACAGGTTAATGATTCTATACTTGTAACCTGCTATAGTATCCATTTTAGGTATAGTGGCCCTAACACATTTTCTTTCTAATGATGAATATAGTTTTTTTTTTTTTTCAAAATTATTAATTATTATGTAATTTCAGAATGTGGAAATTGGCCTAACTACAAAATTATTGATTGAGTTTTAACCACGTATTCAACATCATAATATTCACCAAGGTGTATGCCAATACCTGTTTATCTATGCATGTGACTAACAATATTTAGATGATGACATTGAGATTTTAGATGATAAATTTGAATTGATACAAAAGCAAAAGTTTTTTTTTTTTTTTTTTTGAGTACTATGGACTTTATTACAATGTAATATTTGTTTATAATTACTTTCTTAACATACTGAAGCGTAAAGAGTCAATACCACCTCTATTGGGGGATCGAATCTATGACCTTTTATTTGGGAGAGTCGTTTTGTGTCATTAGACCAAAAGGTCATTGGCTAAAAAAGCGAGCAAAAGTTTAGGTTAGAGTATTTAATATTACTATGCTGTGATATAAACATCATTGAAATGACTATTGCATAAGATACATTATGTATTGTTGTTATGGCAGCATGTGGGGTCTGGTTTCTTTTTACCTCAACCCTCCTTGGAAAATCAGTTGAAACACTTTGCCTACAACCAAAAGATGTTGCAACTAAGTTGTTTGGGGATTTTGATTGCATTCTCAAAAATTGAGAGATTCCCTTTCTCCATGCCAACTTTTCTTTGCCACCAAGAATTGGAAACTAAAGGGGCATCAATCTTTTAACCTTGTTGACATCCATCTCATTACATTATTGTCCTCTTCTCAACTTAAACAAAAAATAATCAATTTGTTATTTTTGAGTGGGACCCTGTTTTGTAGACTAAAATGTCATTGCTTTTGTCTCAACTCTTATCCCTTAAGGAACCCATTTGATTTTTCCCCTTCCCTTTTGTTCTTTGGTGCAAACACCACTTTATTTTGTCACTTCCTTTTCCAAATTTTGATAATTTCATTGTAATTCTCACAGGGAAATATTCTAGTATTTGTCTACTCATCTTTTACGTGGTTGGAAGGAAGGAATTAGGGGAAAATGAATTGTAATTCGGTGTGAAAAGAATAAGATGAGAATAAAGTAGGGATTCAAATTACGTTATTTGGTGGGGAGAAATAGAACTATTGGAATTGAGAAGGAAATAAGTGATATAAAGACTAAAATATCCTTGTGTAATAATAATAGTAATAACAACCAAGGGTAGTAATGTCATTTCATATGTTTTTCCTTTCTCAAATTCATTGAATTGCAATTACCCCATGAATTGCAATTCAACAAAAGAAGAGAATTGCAATTTCATCTAACCAAATAATGTAATTGAGGCATCCATTGAATTGCAATTCAACTGAAGCTAAATTACAGTTAACTAAACACCCTGTTACTTCACAGGGAATGTGAAATGTTCTGAGTAGGTCTTAACTGTAAGAGCTACTTTTAAGTCGGTATCACTAATTCCCAGACGGAGTATATCGATTTGGCTAGGATGAAGCCGAGCTGGATTGAAGGGTGGAGCTGTTTAGCACTTGAAGGCAGCAGCTACGGAGGCGGGAAAACGGAGAGGATCATCTCGCACGTAATGCCGGTGACATCAGACCGCGTTCTTATCACGCCATGTTATCATCAATGCACTTGGAATTCCAATAACACCCTTGCTCTTTTGTTAAACTGACAAAAACCCCCCTTTCTCCTGGGGTTTTATTGGTCGGTCACGTAAGAAATCCTCACCGCCGGATGGGAGAACCAGAAATGCCACGTCAGGCTGCAGCTTTTTAACGTTTCAAATGAGCTCTCTCGGTGCCACGTGTCCGGGTGCCGAGACCGCTGCTGGCCCCCACAACCGAACCCTTTAAAACTCTCGTAGAGCCCTAAAGCGCCAAAACACACCACCACTCCCCACCAAAGCTCGCAACCGCCCAGGCCTAGCCACCGCGCTTCCGTCATGGCTTCCGCCACTTTCTCTCTCTAAAGCTCCGTCTCTTTGGAAAAACTCTCCGATCATTGATATCAGTACTTGTACAGCCTCCGGTAAACCCAAAACAGGCCCCTTTGAGTTTCCATTTTGTATATGTACCTATATGTGTATGCATATGTTGAGCATGTTGACTAGCATGTGTTAGTAGTTTTTTGTGTGTGTGTGTGTGTGTGTGTTTATGGTTGCCCAGCTTGATTACATTGATTGACTCGATTGTGCATTTCATCATTGGTTTTTTTTTTTTTTTTTTTTTTTTTTTTTTCTAAAGTCTCGGATTAAAAATTCCGTTGTCTTGTTTAATTCATTTTTTACTATTTGCATAATCTGTACTCATGAGCGTCTAGGGTTTGGATTGGCCAAAAAAACTGTGTATCCTGGAATTCAGGATTTGTTTTATTTTTTTGTTAGTAAAATCTGTTCTTTGGGAAGTATTGGTTCCCTGGGAGTGAGTGAGTGACTCTTGAGTGGGTGTTGTGTCTGAATGCATTTTAGTAGTTGTGGATTGCTAGATGTTTCTATGGTCCCGGAGAATGTTTAAAACATGCCTTAGGTGTCAATTTTGTACTCAAAGTTTCTTTCATGGTAACTCTGATGTTCCCTGGCCTTCAAATAATTTAATTTCATAGTCTATTTTGAACTGATTAAATTACTTCCAATTTTATTTGCTCGCATATCATAAGCTTTCAACAAAATTCTTGTTAAAACCTTTAAAGTTTGTGCCTCACCATTGACCAGTGCAAGGTTTGATTTGTATGAGATTCTTGGTTTTTGCTTTATTTTCCTTTTATCATCTATTTTACCCTGGTATGTGCATAGTTCTGAAGGACTACAAGTTCCCCCTTTTATATTTGGCTCTATCTCAGGTTGAAGCTAATCAATGGGATTCCAAAACCCAAATGATACACAGCATCCACTAGCATCTACTCCTTTTCAAGTGCATGATGAGCTTGCACTTTCCATTAGGCAAAGTGGAGATGTGCAGTGTAATGGAATGATACATGGTGGTTTTAGTTCAAAGGCAGACCTTGGTTCCCTGTCCTTAACATCTTTTCCTATTACTCCTTCCCCTCTTGAAAATGTCAATGCCCCGTTTCAGTCATACACCTTCATGCCAGAGTTCAATGACATTCAGATGGATAGTAGAGTGAAATTCAGTGGCTTGCATGATCAACATATTGCCACAAATTCAATCAATGTCAGTACCATTGCACCCTCTTTCTTCAACCCACCTACAATGCTTGATCCTTCAAGAAACACAGGAGGAATATACCATCCAGTAAATGATTGTAATATGCTTTCTATGGATAGTTTGATGAACCAAGGTGTCTTTTATGATGTTTTTCAAAATCCTGGAATGGACATGAATTTCTTGCAAACAAGAGGCAATGTTATCATGGAGGAAACAAAGTCTAATAGTTTAAAAACATTGAAGACAGCTGTATGTCCAAACATGGGGAATATCATGCCTAGGCTTGAGCATGCTCAAAATATTATAGGAACAGAAACTACAAAAGCTTTCCTGGCCAGTAATTCTCAGTCTTGCACTCCAAAAACAATTGATGGGAGTTTCCTGACACTTGGGATAGGAGGTAACACAGAGCAGAGATCAAGAAATGTTTTCAGTACCAAAGAGATTGCCAGTAAATTAGATGGAGCAGTCTCTCCACACTTCAACAATTCTCCTTCTCCACAGATGAGAAGAAATTCCTCAAGTCTACCTCACAGCTTTGCTGGTGGTAGTGATGCATATGGAGTATCTAGTACTGCCTGCATTTTGGGCCACCGTACTGTGTCTGCTAGTGATGATACAGTTTTGATGTCTGCCAGCAGTGAACCGAGTCCAAATTCATTTCCTTTTCCATTGACTGCACTAAGTGCTAACCAGCCTCTTTCTTATGCAAACAATGGTAGAAATTCAAACTTTGTTGGTAAAACTAATTCTATGTATATGCCAATGGATAGAGCCGGAGGTGTTATGGGTGATCAGGTTCTGTCATCGTTGACATTTAGCAATACCAATTCCTCTCCTCTTGGTTCTACTAAGCTGTCTGATATAGCATTGGAATCTTTTAACAATGAATTCTTCACACCTAAAATAATGTCTGAGCAGCTGCAAAGCTACCCAAATAGTGTAAAGAACATGCCACCAGAACCTTCAATGAATTTCTGTATTCCCAGGGCTAGAGGAGGATCAGTCGGGCCAAATCATTTTGGTGAGTTTAACTGTGTATTTCTTGCCTACTGAACTAATTATCTGTCTGTAGTTTTACATTAATCTCTGTGGTCTTATCTTTATAGCAGTTTCACATTTTGTTTAAAAGCTCTGGAATTGCTGTTCGTTGTATACTTCATACTGGAATGTTTTGTTTATCTAGCATGCAATAGAAATTCCAACATTGCTTTCAAGTGATCTGTAAACTGTTATTATAATGTATTTCCAAGTACAGATTGTTTTTTTTTTAAAGCTTGTAATCTTTAAACATGCATAAGTTGATATTTCCCAGTATGTTGATTTTGAAATCATGCATGTGCTTGATTTGGCTACTTATGTTTGTGACAAATGTGCTAGAGATTCATCTAGACAAAATTAGAAGTATTAAACATGGTCCAATAAAGTTCGTTGCCCCTTTTACTGAGGATACAAGATATACACCATTCATTTAGAGTGTTCATATCTTGTTCGCCCTATTTTTTCTTTCCAGGTTGGCTAACTGCCTAACTCGATTCAATTTCAATTTTTTTTATGACCCTTTTTTAATCTTTCTTGTTGATAATGCTGACAAGGAAACCTCACTAAGCTTGAGTGCATGCAAACATAAAAACATTTCATAACTATCTTTCTTTGTATCTTATTCGCAGGAAAACTTGGTCCATCTTCAGGGATTAGTCAAACTCAAACTGTCGAAGATGGTCTATTTCCTTCAAGTGCTCAACCCATTGGTGAGTGCATTTACCTCATTGTTTTTGGGACTATTGTTGCAAGTTATAGTAAGGCAGTATATTAGCTTCAGAGAAGCTGTAATCAAGGTACAGTTTTCATATAATTAAATGACCTATTGGTTATTGCAATAAATACTTATCTACTTGGGATAAGCTAATAAAATAGTTGGATCTCTGAAGTTCTCTCATCTGTAGTTTATCTAATCATCTTTTTTGTAGTTCATTCTTAGTTGATTGCATTTTTCCTGATTGATGATGATTTCTTTAAAATTATAACTCTTATGTGGAATAAATTTCTGCAGGTTATCAGTCTTCTAGTGGGCAAATTACTTCTCCGAGTACTGCAGGAAATGGCCTATTTCCACAAAGAATTGGAGTTCATATTGCAGAAAACAGTGTTGTGCAGCCTGCCATTGGAAACCAATTTCCTAAGAGACTAGGATTACAACTTAATGGTGATGCTATTTCTCAAGCTGGTCAGGAATGGGTGTTGCATAAGGAAGCAGGGCATGCCCCACAAAATGGTAAGAGCATTTGAATGTAAAACCAAATTGGTGTGCATATAAATATATCCTCTCTTCTTTCTAAAGATTTCTCCTGCAAGGGAAGTTGTAACGTTGATGGATGATCTTATAGTTAAATTCACTCTATGTCTGTTTTATGTTACTTTGTTAAATTATTTTTTTTAATCTTTTCCTTTTTTTTTTTTTTTTTTTTCTTTTTTTTTTCTTTTATGGTGGTAGTGTTAAAGAGCAAGAGATTTTCAAGGAAAAAGCTTGATTTACTGCAAATATTTAGCTTAGATGATAATTCCTTTCCTGCAGCTGATAACATTTTCAGAAGAAATGTGATGGGTGGAACAATGAGCATTTGGATGTTGAATCTTTCAAGCATTTAATATTCTTCACTTTCACTTTAATCAAATTATAGTCTAGTTTTGTTGATCAGTACTTTCAGGTAAGCTACATCAGTCGCAAAGCAGAAGACCTGCTCAGCTTCCAACAGTGTCTGCTAAGGGTAGCTACTGCCAACATTTTGACCTGTTTCATTTTGCTCTTCCATAGCTTGCTAATTGTATTTTTATACCTACTTTGACCTATATGTTATATTTGTAAATAATGTTTTACTATTTCAATTTTCAAGATTGTTTTAATATTCCATTTAGGTTCAGCATTGCACGGGTATTTTACCAGCAAATGAGTAACTAATTCTGGCAAACTGACACACTTTCTTTTAATGATAAACTAGGCCCCAGCAGTGTCAGTGTACCTATACAGATAAACAGAAATCCTTCTGGACCTGATTTTGTCACTGGTACCATTTTGCATATGCTGGTCTGATTACTTCCACAACCTTTTCCTTGATAATTTAGTGAAGACATTTACTATATACAGGTCATGGAATTCCTACTGCAAAGGTTAATGCTATTCCGCAGGCTTCTGAAACTCATGGACAAGCATCTCTTAAAAGAAAAGCGTATGAACCCCCTCCAATGTCTCAGCGCAAGAAGATAGTCCACCGTCCAGTGGCTCGCACCCCAGGACAGAGCCTTCGACCTCGACTTCCCACATCCTCTCCTGCTCTTCCATTGCCTCACGTCAAGTGGCAAGGTATCTACTACCAGTTTCCTTTTGTTGATGCTTGTATGTACTTATAACAAATTCAGCATGTTATCATCCCTATAATTCCCAATATTTTCTGGGAATGATGACCCAATTGGTGATAGGTGTGTGATGGCTTATAAAACTGCAGGGTCTGATGAACCTCCAAAACCCAGTGGACAGAAATGCCTATTGTGCAAGAGGGACGTGGCGTTCAGTCCAGATGGGCCGGTGCATCAGCCTTCCATTCTGCCAGCCGTCGCAGTTCTTCCTTGCGGCCATGTATTCCATGATCATTGCTTGCATATCATAACGCCTGAAAACCAATCAAATGATCCTCCATGCATTCCTTGTGCCATTGGTGAAACATGAAGAGCTCCGCTCCGCTCCTTTTGTTAAGGTTTTTTGGGGGCTAATTTTAGAGGGAGGCAAAAACAGCTTCAATTTTATAGAAAGATTGAATATATTGGGAAAGGTGACAGCAGGATAGGTATAGTAGTTGAATTGTACAGAAGGTGCAACTAAGCAGGCTTGGCAGACTAACCCCAATTTGTAAAGTTACAATTGCTAATATAGCCCCAACCCCCATCCCCTTTTTGTTCATTCAATGTCAGGACATTGATTGATGGTTTAGTTATTGGAATTTTCTCTATTTTCTTAGAAATTGAATGTTAATTCATTATATTAAGCCACCAAGAATATTTTAATATTTATACAAGCTTGATTTGGGTCATGTTTAATTGAATTATACCTGAACTGTAACATTTATTTTTTCAATGAAAAATAAAAACTTATGGGGGATTTTTTAACTAGTAACAAACTAACAATGCCACTTGACTACAGTAGTAACCCAACACCATGTTTACTAGATTCTTTATTTAAAATTTTCACTGTCCTATTTTATTTATCATACTTACTATTTATTAGTCAATTTAACTTTTTTTCTTTATGGTATGTTTTTATTAATATTTACTTATAATTCAAATTAATTTTTTGTATTTAATAGTATTCTGTTAACGTAGTTTCTAATCTAAATATATATATATATATATATATATATATATATATATATACTAATTTTAAACTTAATATTAATTTTTTAACATTATAATTGTTACTTTAAAAAATAAAAACAAGTAAATTGCATGTTTATTCATGGGTTATAGGGTAAATACAAATTCAATCGTTGTCTTATAAGTATTACCAATTTTAATTTTTAAATTGTCTTTTCAGGTAACAATTAAAAAAAAAAATCAAACTTATAATTATTATCAAATCAACACCTGACCACTTAGATTGTGTTACCTCCACTATTCAAAATTTTAGTTCATACTAAAAATGATTTTCACTTTCTATTTTTCTTTCTTTTGTCATATCATTCTCAAATTTCACAGCTAAAAATACAAAAACATAAAAATTACTAGTCTGAAAATTTCCTAAACCCTAAACGCAATCTTGAATTCATGCTCCAAAACCAGGTTCTTCATATCCACATACAGCAGTTCACTTGCAAATACACATTCAACCACAAATATCATGTTTTTTAGGATTTTGATACAACAACAATATAAAATAGGAGGGGATGATGAAAGAAAACATCTTATCTGCACATAAGAAACCAAACACCAAATTTGAATTCCTAAACTGAACAAAATTAGTACACATCTATAAGAAGTTGGCTATATTTACAGTGAGAGGTCTCACCATCCCTTTGCTGATGATGATGAGTTGAAGAAGAACCTAAAACCGCACTACCTAGCTTGATGATAATCAGAATCTTCGGCGATATTGAACAAAAACTGAGGCAGCGACGTAATTCGTGGAAGGTTGAGCAATAGATCCCCAACCGAGTCCTTTCTTGACATCGATGCTTTCTGCTTCGAGCATGTGAGATCATCAGGTAGTCCATCGTCATCTGGTGTGGGAGGACGATTTTCCTCGTAATTCCTTTCACTCACTACTGATGCAGAAGCGAAGTTGAACTCTCCGACTCCCTTGTCCCCCATTGCGGGCTCGTGAAAATTCTCCCTTCTTTGGGCGGTGGGCGGAGGAGGGTCTTTCTGAAGAAGGCAGCAGAGAGAATTGACCCGGGACATGAGAGACTTTTCATCCGAGGCTGCAGGCATATACTGAGTGTCGCTAAACAAACAACGGTTTATCTCTTCAAGCATTTCTAAACTTTGTCGTTCCTCGCTAGAGAGGTTGAAATCTTTGGACGTTTTTTGCTCCGACATGCGTTGTTCAAGATGACTCACGAGATCACCCATCGACATAGAAGGATGAAGCCCCGGGACTCTGATCTGATCCCAGTTACTCAATCCCTTCCATTCTTCTACTCCCATACTTTTAATATCTTCAATTACCCGCGTGTCCATCACTAAGAATAAGAATGTCAATTTAGAGCGCTAGAAAAGGAAAGTACCGAATGGCACTATTCTAGCATTATTCATTCTTACCAACCAATAGCAACATATATTTAGAAACTCAATTTTGAAGTGCGAATAAATGTAGTTTTTCTTTATATCGAACTTAAGTACCTGAGCTTGGTGATGATGTTTCACGCCGAATAGATTCCAAAGGCTGAACAATGTGATCTTGCTCACTCCGTGAGGAAGAACAGTGAGCCCCCGAAGGTGAATTGGCATCACACAAATCAAGGAAAGAGGAACTTTCTCCACCATTCAGATCAGTCCCAGTATCACTTTCATCGGGATCTTCAAATATTGATATTTTGGACTCGAAATAAGGAGAATCTAATTTTATCTCCGCTTGTTGACTTAGAAAGTTGAGACGGGGATCACATTGAACAAGCTTTTCAAAATGCTTTCCTAACAAGCCCGGAGGACACTGCAGATAATGTCGCCTGTGGTGAAGGAAAAAACTATTTAGAAAAAAGAGAAACTACACAAGACACTCGAATTCCACTTTCATTCATGATATAATAGTAGATGCCGAATTGGTCAAAAACACAATGATCCGGGCAATTAGTACCTGTGCATGCTAGCCTGTCCCCCAGTAAAATCCGAAGTTGCTTGCCACAATGTGTGTTTCCTCGGTTGGGGATTTGTCTCCCTAAAGAAAAGCGGTTGCCTTGCCAACTGAAATAGAAAGGGATAGCAATCCCCAAAACCATATTAGAAACACCAATAATGGAACTTGTATTTCTATTTCAGTAACAACACAAGATTGAAGTTACACGACGTACCACCACATCCAACGTCCCAGGTGCATCATCCGGGTAAGTTGCCTTTATCCCCATAATGTCAGACCACTGAATTTCAATCTTATTCTTGAGCCCACCGTCGAGAACTTCCCAAACCAGCTTGTGCTTCGCAAAGTAACATTTCGCCACTAAATCACCTTCATACCTAGACTTATACTGCACACACAACACAACCACCACTCATTACCCAGCCAACGAATCTACCTCGTTTATTTTAAAAAATACTCTTGAGAACAAAACTGCAAATACCTCCCAGCTACCAATTTTGAGAATCGATGCAGGGAAATTAGACGCCTTAAGCTTCTCGGATGTACTGGAATTGGCCTTCTGTTCCTTTTTACCAGGATTTCCTCCAGCCTTTGACATCTTCCCTTGAGAAAGCCTCATTTGGATCAAATCCAAAAGTGATGGGCTCTTCCTTAAACTCAATCCCAATGGACTTGGCTCCTCTAGCGGGTTATACTGCACCACCGGAGGTTCCCTGAAATCACTCACTCCAATTCCCACCTGATGCTGCAAAACAGCAACAAACTACCCAATTATACATCAACAACAAGAAATGAATTTTTTTTAAAAAAATTTAAAAAGGGCAAGCCAGAAACTACACTAATTCAAGTTTTCAAAGCTAGTCGTCTAAAATCATCATCAGTCAATGCACAATAATTTAAAATAAACTATAGGAATCAGTAAACCAATTAAACTATTCATAAAAATGTAAACTTTAATCCTTTTATTCAATAACCAGGACTTTATTACTATAAATACCCAAACTATAATTACTCATTTTTGCTTATAATAAATCCTCTACTCTACCTAAGATCTATTGAATATCGATGCATCGCCACTACATTTCTCAAAAAAAAAAAAACAAAAGGGCAAGAAATCCCTTATACACAGGAAAAAAAATCCAGCATATTAGAGCGTAGAGAGGATAAGAGATACCTGAAGAGGAGAAGAGAGCTTGGATCGTTTGTTGAGTGGGCCGTGTTCTTCCTCCAAAGGATCATCGACTTCCACTTCCAGCTTCACCGGCACCGCTTTACCTCTCTGCCAGTCCAGTTCCGGCGCCATCTCACCAGTTTTCATCAAGAAAACCATCAAAAGTATATCTCTGATTCAGACCAAGTAAAGTGCTGGAGCTCGCTGAGTCGACTCGGGATTCGCAGCAAGAGATACGGTGAAGAGAGAGAGAGAGAGAGGAAAGAGAGAAGAGAAAGCAATGTTCGATTTCACCACTTCTGCTACCGGACAACCTCGGCCTCCGAGCAGTTTTATATCACCGAGAGATGAATCCCTCTCGCACGTGCCACTCTAAATTACTTTGCCTACCCCTCGCACGTGAGTCGACATTCCGTAAAACTTTCAGTCTAATCCCCCCCACACAAGAAACACGTTTTCTCCATATCCCTATTGGCTTTACTTTTACCTCAACTAGCATTCCAATTCATTTATCAAAAATTTTAGGGTGTGTTTGGTTAAGAAGTTTACACATTATAAATGAGAATCGAGATTATAGCTAGTGTTTGATTGACAACTTTTTAAAATATAATTATAGAGTTTTTTATTTTTTAAAAAACACAAATATAAAATTTGATTGTCCATTGAATTAAAGATCACATTCTCTAATTAAAAATGTGAATCATTTCATTTTATTAACAATCTAATTTTTAAGTTTGAATTAATACTTCTTTTTGTTTTGATTTTTTTTTTGTTTATATGGATGATTTGGATGTCATTATATTATGATCAATTATCTTGATTTTTTGATAGTCTTGAGACTTAGCCTCTCTTCCCTCACAAAAAATAAAATTACCTTGATTTTTGTTTTTTGTTTTTTTTTTTTTGTATTTTTAAAACATTTATTCCCAATTTTTCATTATAGGATCATATACAACCAAACATTAATATTGGTAATCATTACAATTTCATCCTATTATCAAACATGCAAAACCAAAATCAATTATCATTACCATTACTACTATGTATTTGATTATCATTCTAATTTCGATTTCCATGTGCGAAACCAAACACACCCTTAATAAATCTCATAGCTATATTCAATTCTTATTTAAAATGTTTTCAAGTCAAATTTGTACTATTCCATCATAACCCATTATTATTAAAATCACAGTCAAAAGTATCAAATTTGGAATTCGGACTTTAGTTTTCAACTCACTTTGTTAATATTTTTTGCATAAATTTATTTCTTTAGAACTACTTAATTGATTTTCTTTAAATTTAATTAATAAGCAAATTTTCTTTTTAAACCAGTGGAAGTCAATTAATTTATGAGAATTTAATAAGTACGGAGTATAAAATATTTCATTATTGTGTGGTAAATTTTAAAAAGACTTTATTAAAATAAAATAAAAAAAGTTCCTACACCTAAATATATACATACAAACAAAATAAATATGATATTTTTGCATCCTACATGATGAAACTAATATATTACTCCGTATAACTGAATTCGTTTGAAAGAAACTTTTTCAAAAGTGTTGTTGCATATATATAAGTTTAAATTTTGTATTTTATATTTAAGTGATTCAGACATTATTACTTTAATCAGTATAGTTTGATAGGTAATATATATTATATACTTTTTTAATTCTTTTCAGTCTAAAAAATCAATGTCCAATCATTGGGATTTGATCGTTGACTGTCCATTTAAAATGGTAATAAATGTGTCATCATATATATTACATAGTACTAGTTGGTAGTTTGAATAGATTCAAAGCACCATTAAACTAGAATGAAAGTGCTAAATTTGGCTAAGAATGGGAAGTCGAAATTAATCTAATAAGTTTACTTAAAATTGGCGCAAACGTGAATAGATTTGAAGGGGGAGTAGGGGCAAAAGGGTAAAAGTGGGGGGCAAAGGTAGGCCGGTGTCACGTGAGCCACATGACGTGTTTTAATGGATAAAAGCAGCGGGGCCCAGATTCGTGAAGGTTCGTGTTCGTCCGGTAGTGGAGGCTTTCGGTTTAGTGGAGAAACGGCTGCGATGGGGCGACGTGGCGCCACGTGTTCTGATCGGGCGGTGGACGTGACACGTAAGAAGTTGAATTGGATGCCCTTCCTGGGCTGCTGCTATTCTGGATAATGTTTTCCATGATTGCAATTTTGTCGCCTAGCCTCCGTGTCGTCCACGCGCTTTTCCTCCCCCATTTTCACAGTATTCCGGCGGCTCTGAACCCCACGCGCCGTCTTTTTATCTCCATCACCAAATACCAATCATCATCGCCCGCTTCTTCTTCAAGTTGTTTGACCCTCCTATCCCTTCCCTTTTAGTATTCTTCCCTCCTCTGCCTCTACTTTTCTATTTCACCTCCACCAATTTGCCAATTCAACTTGAGATTATATTATTCCAATAAAAAATAAAATATATTATATATTGCCAACAACTACTGCAACCTTGTACTCAATCTTATCCACTTGAGATTAAGACGCATGTTATTCATATTCCCAATTTCCCATACTATAAAGTACTAATCTTCTTTAATATCATGGGATAAGATGGGGGATTTAATATAATTTATAGATGTTGTATATCATTTCCTTTAGGGCTCATTTGGTTCGCGAAAAATATTTTAAGGGAAGTGAAATTAGAATTCTATGAAAAAATAATTATTAGAAAGACGAATTTCATTGTTTGGTTGGTGGAAAAAAAATTACTAGGAATACTAATTCTATTGTTTTGGTTAGATTTGGAATTGTAAGGAATAATGAGTATAAAGACCTATATGCCTCTATAAATTAATAAAAGTAATATAATTAAAAAAGAAAACAAAGGTAAAATAGACAATTTATTCACTTTTTCTTCCCATCTTCCATGGAAAATAAAATCCTTGGTCCAACCAAGGATTTTGTTTTCCTCAAATTTGAGGAATTCATTTTCCAATGGAAAATGAATTCCATGAACCCAACACTAAAAAACACCATTTTCCTTCACTTTAAGAAAAATATTTTCCTTTGGAAAACATTTTCCATGAACCAAACATCCCCTTAGTTCATAACTATCTTTGAAAAATCAAATCACGATATATTAATATAAGAGATAAAGTAAAAATAAGAAAAGAGACAGTACAAATGGAAAAAATTTCATTCCATTAGTCAACTACATAATCCAAGGGTACACAAATATATATACAATATAAAGGAATAATAAATGGTCTACATAATGATCATTAAATGTTTTCGTTACAAATGTTGTCTACCATCAATTTTATTTATAACACTCCCTTTTAGATATTGTTTGACCACGATCTTGCCTCGTCAAAAACTTGCTACGAAAATTCTGTGGAAAAAACTAAACAAGAAAAAGAGTACAAGGTATATGAATAGTATATTTAAATACATTCATTCCTCATTAAAAACTTCACTAGGAAAACTACGTGGGAAAAAAATTAGTTGAAGAAAAGAGTACATGTATTGGTTGCCTCATTAAAAACCTTAACTTAAGAAAACCATGTGGGAAAAAACTTAGTTAAGGGAAAAAGAGTACAACCATAAGCCTTCAAGGCATAATCTTCAGGATTTTGGGATTTGTCTATTTAAGTATTTACTTGCAACTTTTCCCCATTGATCATACTCATGTCTCGTTAAAAACCATACTAGAAAAACCCAGTGGGAAAATTTAGTGAGGAAAAGAGTAAATGGTATGTATATGGTGTAAAAAGTACAACTGTTAGTCTTTTAAGACCCAATCTACAGGATTGATTTGAGTGAATGTATTTCTTATCTCGCCCTGAAGATAACAATCTTCAAGTTCTACATGGCTTAAAGTAAAGTCATTGTTTCAAAAGAGTGTAGATAGTACAATCTTTCAGGATTGTTATTAGAATTTATCATTTTATTAAAATAATCTTGTGACTCTTCTTGAGCATACGTGGGTTGAATATTTATATAACTTGTCAATTATCCTTCAAATATATCCACTTATAATCTGTATAAAACAAGCTTTAATTTATTATCTTCACATAAGACAGTGGAAGTAAAAGCAAAACATAACCAGATGGGATTTGGCATCATGAGGGTCAAAACAAAGAGTCAATACCCAAGTGACCTAGGAAAATCACACATTGCTTTATTGCATGAATTTCAAAATCTTTTTATAAATCGAAGGTATTGGAGGATATTTGAATATTATTCCAATATTTAATTGTAGGAGGATCACTAGATGTTGTTAGTAATTTCTTTGCAAAGACAATGACGGTCCTGATGCGATCATGAAATTTCTGATTCTATGATAGTGCTCCACTACTCCACTAGTGATGAAGTAATGGACTTCTAGTCCCCAAAATGTCCTCATTATCTAGATAATCTTTTATCTATTTCAAGAGATTATTGGACAACCGTTAGTGTGATAAGTCAGTGGTACTTATTCATAATGTGTCAAAGACAGTTTTTTAAAAATAGACTAATTAGTGTGTAAAATTCTTTTTAAGGAAATACTCAATCTACATGTTGAGATAATACTTGGTTTTTCAAGTTCTTTATTTTTCAAAAGGCCCCTTAATAAGTAATTATTGGTACATATTTATTTTTACAATTTTCTATTTTAGGAGGAAATTACCCCGTCGATTGCTTTACTATTTCAAGTTAAGTAAAGGCTTTGTACTTCAACAACAAATATGTTGTGATATTTAATTTCTTTTATTTTGAGAATTATAAATCTATCAAGGATTTTACAAATACACATTAGTGTCTAACGACCTATAATTTCAAGGTCATGACTTCAATAAGCTACATATCTAAAAAAAACAAATTTATTGTTCTGCCAATTATTTAGCGGAACTGTTAATAATATTCATTATGGGAGAGAATATCTGATTCTGGGTCTCTGTGTGAACCCTTGAGCTACATACTTGTTTTATATCACACTACCTCATCATTCTTATTTCTCTTTCATACAAGCATCATTCGTAACCTACATGGTTAAAGCTTCAATGGTGTACAAAAGAAATATATTTATCAGTGAGCTGAGCTACACACACACACACACACACACACACACACACACACACAATAAAGAGTTATGTTGTCTCTACTATAATCCGACCAGGGACCTATAAGCTCGAGACCACTACTCGATGGCCAGTGAACCGAATCTGGAACTTCGAGCACCTTGTGATATTCTATAAAGAGTTAATAACCATTTTGGTTCTTTGACTATTGAGTATTGCTTAATTTAATCATTGACTTTGAAAATGACCCAATTTGGTCCTTTGACTTTAAAAATCAACTCAATTTGGTCCTCCTT